CCCCCCCCCATGTGTAATATCCACCCTGCACGAAACCTGGAACTGTCCTATAGCATTCTTGTGGTACTGGGCGTAGCTTCTTTCAACAAGATTGCATTGTGCTTGCATGGGAAGTTCTCTTTAATAATCAGCATCAACAAAATCTAGAAAAGAAATCAAGGTCCACTCATATTTTACCAAAACAGCACTTGATTCTAAGATCTACTTTCTAAGAAATGTAATTGCTGCCGGGGTGTGACCTACTAGACAAGTTAAATAATAACTTTTCAAAACAAATGATTGTGGGTGCATGGATTAAATCGAGGCTTTGCTCTAATTAACCTATTGCTCTTCTCAGCTATTTACTCAATCTTTAAATGGATGAATACATTTATGCATTTTTTTCTGGGATGAAAAATGAAGTGGGTGCAAATAAGCAAATCCACCAAAATGCTAATGCAAATTACAGACTTTAAATAATTAAATAGAATAGTTGTTGTTACATATTCAAGAGCATGGTGCATAGTCTGGCATCTTTTGCTTTTGATTTGGTGCAGACTGCTCCATGATGGAGCAGTGGGGGAAGATAGCTGCCCCACTGGCATCTATCTGTCTCGAGAGACAGAGGGCTCAACAGAATAATTTGGTAAAATAGTACCGAAATATAGAGGCATATCCCAGAGCTATTAGGCATCATAGTTCCAGGTCTCATTACACTTTCTTACTTGTAACATTTAGGGCTTATCCACACTTACCTTTCTTCTGTGCATTAAAGCTCCATGTTGGAGCACCAATTTTTTTGCTCCAGAGCTTTCCCCTTGAAAATCCGCTCTTTAAAGCTGAATTGGGAGCAAATGACAATCCACAAAAAACCTGAATAGTAGGAAACTGGAGGCACTGAAGCGTTTCCATTAAGCTCCAATATCATGGGCTAGAAAACTCAATTGAAATATGTTTCCCACATTTATGCACAAAATATCAGCTTTAAAGAGTTCAGGAATCACAGTTCAAATGTTCAGGAACCAAACAAGACATTCAGGACTAGGCAGAAGCAACTAAGATGTTCCAACAGTTTCCATGACCTACCAACCAAGCTATTAAAGGCAAGGTGTGGTGTGCTCACTTTTAGGACTCACTTCTTTGTGAGAATGTCAGGATTGCAAAGGAGCACTCTCCTGGGGCATATGAGTCTGCTCCTATCTGCAGAGGAAGCTCCTAGTTTTGTTCAGGCTGTTGAACAGATCCCGCCACCTCCTGCAGCTGCCCACAGACCTCCCCAGCTGCCACTGCTCTGCTGGGAGATCAGGGTGGGAGCAACTAGCATCCTTACTCCCTCTTCTGAAGTGGCTGAAGTTAAGAGACACTGGAGACATCCCTCCCCCCCCCTGATTCCCACCTATCAGCCCGCCCCTGCCACTTTCTTCCTCCAGCATTGGAGCCTGCCAACCCAATCCCAACAGAGTTATGAGGCTCATGACACATTTGTTGCATTAGCCTTTCTTACACTCAGGCAGTGTTGGTTATCGCCAAATACTCTGTCACACAATACATCATTAATTTGTGGAATTGATGGCCACTGGGTGGATTGATGATGATAGGTCTCTCCCACTTCTTAGCCATGATTTCAAAAAAGATGGGATTGCATTGTCTAGAGAAGTATGACACTTGAGTGTCAGTTGCTGGGAGACAAGAGCAGGGGGGAGCTATTGTGATCATGCGTCTCTTGTGGCAGGGGCAGATTATGGTACTATGACACCTTGAGCTAGGCCAAACTTTGGTATTCCCAGTCCAGCCCTCATGACATGCCAGCCTTTGGGAAGGACATATGAGTGCTGGCAGGGTCCTAGAGCCCTCTCATCTCCTTCCCAGAGCTGGAAAGCACTAACTAGGCTTTCGGAAGGAAGCAAGAAGACTCCAAGACCCTGTCAGAGTTCTCATGCTTCCTTCCTGTAGTCAGGCAAGTGCTTGCTGAGCACCCTCTCTGCTTGATGCCCAGTGTGGGGAAACTGCCCTAAACCTCCCTCTGCTTGTGAGTAGAGAAAGCATCATATTTTGAATGGGGAAAGCTTAAAATGCAAATTATCACCACAACAAGCAAACAAACAAACAAACAAACAAACACCTGGGCCAACATTAATTGTGTATGGGACTTGCATGCTGCCCATCTTGAAAACTCCAATCTTTCTTACTCAAAGCAAGTAAAAACTCTCTCTGCGTGTTGTTGGTTGAATGTTACCAACTTTGGGCTTCCCAGAAGCATCTGCTTGGCAACTAGGAAATGGGATCTTGGACTAGATGGATGCTTGGCTAGGATGAAGATCCTGGTGGCCCTTCAACTTGTCACAATGGCTAGTGGTCAAAGATGATGGGAGCTGTAGTCAAACAGCATCAAGAGACTCACTAGTTCTCCACTCCTTCACTCTGATCCAGCAGAACTGCTATTGTCCCCCAAGCATTCTAGTTTAGCTTGGAGCATCACATAATGCTTAACCCTGGGAAGAATTGCTTTAAAATTTTGGAGAACAGTCAGTACATTTAGCCATCACAGTTCAATCTGAGTCCACTGCTTTCTTTTAGGTTAATATTCTTCTACAGCTAAAACAGTTGCTGTAGAAAATCAACATATCAGTAAAAATATATTTTGGTGCAAAATGGCAGAAGTTGATAAAGTGCAATCCTTCTTGCTCTTTTTAGGAAACACAAGTTTTTAGGAAACACAAGCACAAAAAGTGGCTCTATGAAATAGCTGAGCCACCACTACCTGAGTGCCTAGCAGTGGTCCTACTTCTCGTAAACACTAGGATGCTGCCATAACATTTGCATCTGGGAAAGTCTTCCCATACCACATGTTGAAGCAGTCAGGCTACTTACTGCACTATTGCACATGTTATATCCAGCAAATAAAGAAGTAGTGCAGTGGGTAGAAGCAGGCTGCGAGTACAGAAAGCTTTCCTTGAAGCAGCCAATTTGGCTGCAATGCTGTGACTCTGTAGGGAAGCAACAGCTAGATATTTCTGCAGCATCCTGGGGGGAGGGAAAGTTGCTCCATACAGTTACCAAAGAGTTGCTCTTTCCCTTTTCTCAGGACAAGGTGCTGGCCTAATTTTTGAATTGGATGTCAACACCTAATGAATTTGATATATTATCTTAAATAATTGCCAAACATTATTATCTTGGTAAATCAAACAGGTAATTATGAGATGTGTGGCAACATCATCAAGGTCAATGAGCTCTTTCAATGTTCGTTTTACAGGCCAGGCTCAGATAACAGGCGTCATGGTGGCAGAGAGCGAATGGTCGGCGGCAACGAAAAGGGAAGCTTGTCCATGGAATCCACCAAGGAGACCCGCTACTGTGCAGTGTGCAATGACTATGCTTCAGGTTACCATTATGGCGTATGGTCCTGCGAGGGATGCAAAGCCTTCTTCAAGAGGAGTATTCAAGGTAATAACATTGTGGCTACTTAGCAAATACATGACTTGTTGTAATCAAATAATTATGCAACGTATCAGAGAAAAGACTGTACAGTGGACGCTTGAGTTGCGAACGTGATCCGTGTGGGAGGCACATTTGCAACTCACAGCGCTGCATCTGTGCACGTACGGGTTGTAATTCAGTGCTTCTGTGCATGCGCAAAGCACGATTTAGCGCTTCTGTGCATGTGCGGCCACCGAAACCCGGAAGTAGCCCATTCTGGTACTTCCAGGTTTCGGCGCATCCGTAACCCAAAAAAACCGCAACCTGAAGCATCTGTAACCCGAGGTATGACTGTACCTGTAAAATTGTGAAAATAAGCTTTGTAAAGTATAAGCTTGATAATGCTAAGCTACATTTCAGGAGCTAAATTGCATTTGAAGCCCAGAACAAAAATAAAGAAAAAAGTGGGGGCGGGGGTGGACACTCCCAGCATGTTTGCCATCAGACGATTTTGATTTGTTTGGTACACATATGACATGCCTGCTGGATCAGGCCAATGGCCCATCTAGTCCAGAATCCAGTTCTCACAGTGGGCAATTAGATGCCTATGGGCCGCCCATTTGGAGAGATCTCTTTTTGTTTTAGCCACCTTGAACAATTTAGTATCATCAGCAAATTTGGTTACCTCACTTCTTACTCCCAAATCTAAATGATTTAAAAGCAAGTTAAAAAGCACAGATTCCCATATTGAGCAGGGAATATCACTTTCTGCACCCATCCATTGGGAGAACTGCCCATTTGTTGCTACTGTCTGCTAAGCTTATTCAGGAGTCTTTGGTGAGGTACTTGGTCAGAATCTTTTTGAAAGCCTAATTACAAAATGTCAAATGGATCACCTTTATCTATATGCTTGCTGAAACTTTCAAATAGATTACTGAGATAGGGCTTCCCCTTGCAGAAGACATGCTGGTTCTGCTTCAGGAAGACTTGTAGTTGATAATTTTATTTTACAATGCTTTCCAACAGTTTTCCTGGAACAGATGTTAAGCTGAGTGGCCTGTAGTTTCCAGGACCTCCCCACCCCCCACCCCAATTCCCATGTATTCAGTAGTGCTCCTTCATCACACTCTGCTTGGTTCAAGAACATTTTTCTGGCTGTTGTGATAAAAACACACTTTTGTGATAAAAAACAACAACAGGCACATACAAACAAGGAAAATTGAATGGAACCAAGACCCTGCTATAGTACTTTACAGTTCTGGAACCCACCCCTCTCAAATAAATAAATAAATGCATACGCCTGGAAAACTACCTCTCATAAGATCTTACTACGTCTGTAGTAGAACTGTGCGTGTTTATAATTTATGCAGCATTCTTTAGGGTATGGAGTGCAATGTAGTTCTTAACGTCATTTGTTCACACAACTATGTGATTCCGGGGAGCGCGGGGGAAGGACTGCCAAAATGAAGGACTAGTTGTAGGAGGCCTAGAGAATGATTGCAGAGTATATGGTTCATTTTCAATGGGCTTATTATCTACAAAGTCTTAAACAGCTTGAACCTTGAGAATTATCCCAACTGAAAGTCACTATGACAAAGGCAGGGGCATAGAGAGACAGAGAGAGCCTTGGTGGTTGCTGAACAAATGTTAAGCTTTTTTTCACCAAACACTTACAATAATTGGGGTTAGGGACAAGTGAAATGTTATATTGTAAGCCACATTTTATCATTTCTGTATTTATTCAAAAGCATCTTCTGAGATTTCAGTGAAAGTATAGCAGGCATGGGAGAGAGGCTCCTTAACTGTTTCTGTCTTCTTCATCAAGCTGCTTTTCAACCTGCAAATGGAAGATGTGTCAGAAAAATAGCCAGAAGGCAAGGAACAGAGCTAAAAACTTGCAGTCTCATTTAAGAGAATAAAATGTTGGAGGAAGAAATACATACATGTGTCTGCATGCAATATACAGACTGGCCCTTAAGGTCTGAACACAGTTCTATGGTGGTATATGTTAAGGAAGGAAAACCCTGTAATGGCATGATTTTAAATGATTTCAAATCATTCTGCTGGCATTGTGTTAGCAAGTTAGTTGAAGTGATGGCTCAATCAATGAGCAGGGGAGGGGGAAACATGCACATGCAAATCCAACTGGAAAATAGGTTCACCTGAGTGGGTCCATTCCCTTTTTAAATAAGGAGAGATGAACATGTGGGGGTGGAAGTCGACGGTAGAGAAAAGGTAAAGGCCCAAGGGCATAACAAGCTGCACCCACTCCTGACTCAACATCTGCAGGGGCTGCTGCCAAATCCTGGAGATAATGTAACATTTGACAGAACATATTTGTGCTGTAAAGAGAAGCGGCATAATTTAATTCTACTTTAGCTTGGGCAGCTCTTAGCATTATTACACTGGGGTTCTACATTGAGTCAAGTAAAAAAACAAAACTAGCTTACACTGGTGCAACTCAGAGCACACACAGAACATACAAAAGCCAATCAACCTTTTTCGGATCCCTTCAGTCAACTTTAAAGAGCACAGCTAAAAATACCACAAAAGAGCTTAAAGCATTTAATATTTAATAATCGGTGTTATAAAATACAGTTGCTTTTTGGTACAGTTTAGAAACTGCAAGGTATGAGCTCACTGCAACAGGTTCTCACATGTGTTAGCCTCAAGAATCCTGCTTTCTTGATATTGAAAAATCATCTTGTGGATAAGCCCTATGATGTGGATATAAAATTGTTGATATCCGTCGGTCTTGGGCGACAATGGAAGAGTGCGTTTTTGGGGTGAAGTCAGACTGCTGAAGAGTTACAGCACCTGCTATGGCTGTAGAGACCAATACGGAAGAGACATGTTTTGTTGCAGTTGAGCAGATGAAGGCATCTGGTTGTGCTGTTGCAGATGCACCATGGCGTTTCTTCTGTCTGGGCTCCTCCCAGCTGTCATTCCTCCTCTGGTCACAGCCTTCAGTATGCTACATTATATCTACACATGTAAGTTGGGCCTGCAATAAAATATTTTAGAGTATTATCTCCCTAAGAGGAGTGGTCATTGTAAGTGCTGCTCAGATGTCTTTAGGGGCAGGTTCAATGAGTGCACCACTACTCTTGACTCTCATTGAAATTACGCGAGGGGAAACACCTGAGTAGGGCTTGTTTTACTATTTTCAGCAGACATGCTACAATTCTGCATCTTAGACTGCTCTGAACCATAGATTTGGAGTCGTGTGTTTGCCTCTGCGTGGAGAACTGAGCAAGGCTGCACATCATGGCCTCACTCCTTATATTGCATATCACACCACTCCCAAAGAAGCTGCAATAATCAGGACAGTTGATCACATTGTGATCCTGACCACATGGAGTTCCTATTCGTGAGTAGTTGCTGACTTGTAGCTACCTCTTTGTAGATGGCCACATTCAGTGTGTGGATGTTGAGTAGAGCAGGCATGTGCAAATAATGCAAATGTCTGCCTGATTTATTTATGTTTTTAAATCTCCATGTACCTCTCTCTGTGAGCTTAACCATCAGTATTTTGTAAATTTACAGGTTCCTGTCAGATAGTTTTATGGTTTTGTGTGTGTGTATGTTTTATAGCCTAACATTTAAGTACGCCTGAGTACCTAATATATGTAGAAAGCGCTATATTATTTTTGGATGATCCCATTTCACTTAGAAATTGATAGGCATTCGACCACCGAAGGTCACTAACAGAAGGAATTCTTTTTTTTAAAAAAAAGTAAAAGTAAAAATCCAGGTGTTAGAAATTGTTAAGACAATACATGCCTGGTTCTGCAATGCTCCTCACAGTAATATACACTGGTTAGATTCATCTTGAAGCTACAGACACAGTAGGAGTAGCCCTTGCACCTGCATGCTCTTCCACACTAATTAGAAATTAGGTTGAAGGTTCATTAACTGTCATTCTGATCCACAAATATAAAAAAAATCAAACTAAAATGGAGAGAGAGGTATTCACCATTACTGACAGTAAGTGCTTCAAAAGAGGTCAGTGACTTTTTCTGCTAGAAACCAAACCTCCTCTTATTCTAAGTTTGAGGGTTGGAATAAAGTGCTTGTTTTATTGCTCTCTCTCTCTTTCTCTCCCCTCTCTGTGTGTTGTTTGTACAGTAGTTCACATGCTGTCTATTTGCAATGGCTTTTAAGTACACCTTGTTACTTGCATTACTTCAGAATGCTTGAGATTAGTTGGTGTAGCAAACATAGCTGTCAACATTTCCCTGCTGCTGACTTCTATTGGCAGAGCTTGAGATGCAAGATTGATCTGCTCCTACCCAGCCTCACTTTGGATTGTTCTGCCCATCATGTTGATTTACTTTAGCCTCTAGTTCTACCAGACCAACACAAAACTCACACTCCTCCTTCCTATCTTTTTGTGAGGCTGCCATTCGGTCTTAGGTGCTGAAGTGGCTTCAGCTAGCCTTGCTGCTAGCCTCTCACAAACACAAAGGAATTACTAAACTTTCATAATCTTCCCCTGCCAGCAAATCTCCATGCTCTGCCGAGAAGCATCCTTATCCACGATCAGTGCTTAATTTGAGGATAAGATTATTTGTGTATTTTTTCACCCTTTTTGCTAATTATTGCTCTGGATAGCTAACTATACAACTTTTTTCTTAGTCTAAGAGCACCATTTCTGTTTCTCCTTACTCCACTGCATTTCACTGAAGTGTGTTTGGCAGTGGCTTCCGTTGCTATCTCCATGGAGGAGCCTAGAACACAAAAGCACTCAAGTACTAGTTTATCACTCAGTTTAATCTCCTCTCCATAAAAGTTACTCGAGAGGGGAAAGGGGAAATATCATAAATATTATTCAGACAATGGCTCTTGACTACTGCTGATGTTGTTGTAGTATAAATAGTTATGTAGCTGAAGTTTCTCTCACTCTGAGCCACATGGAAAAATAACATCGCATTTGCGGTTGGAGTGCACTGAGGAAAAAATACTTCCAAAACCTTACAGGATTTTGCAGCATAAAACTATCTATCTATCTATTGCATTTTTTTGTCTCATGACATAAAAAAAATTCACGTTGTCAAAACAAAAAGCTTTCTATTCTGTAATGACAATGTAGGAGCCCATTTTATAGTAAATTTTATATCCTGACTGGAACAGTAGACTTCAGCCATCTGCTGAAAAGGGGTACTATTTCAGCATGTTCTGTCTCAGAATGTATTTTTGTTGCCATTTTGTACATTAGATCCCAAAGATACTTAAACACATTTACCCTTCTTTTTGGATTGGATACAGATGTCCCAGTTCAGTGAACATAAAAATATTACGTACTTGGATCTGATTATAGAGCAGGAGATACAATAAGCCAACGCTTAGGAAGCCTAGGTTTGTCAGCTTTCTTGCATAACCAGCACAGCTGTCCAGCGTGCTAGAAAGCCAGCCTGGATCCACGCAACACCAACCACACCCTTTCCTCATTCAGCTTCTCCCCAGAGCTGTTGGGCAAGGAGAAGCCAATCTGTAGTTTTCCAGTTGTTGGACTACAACTCCCATCATCATTAACCATTGCCATGCGGCGGATGGGAGTTGCAGTCTAACATCGGTTGCCCATCCCTGCTGTTTTCTTACCTTGTCAGTCTGTGTTGCATGGGTGTGTGTGTGTAGTGCCTCAGTTAGGATCCAGTAGATGTGACACCACTTCCTCATGCAGCTCTTTTCCCAGCCAGTCTTCTCTGATTAGCTAATGAAGCCGCACACAGTTTTCCAACTGCTGCTGTACCTAATGGTTGAACAAAGAACATCTTCAGCCCTGTCTTTCTGTGCTTGTTCATAATAGCAGATACACAGGATGAAACTTTGGAGCTAACCCAATAAATTCTTCCAGTATATTTTCTCATGCATCTGATAAACCTTTCTCATGCATCACAAATTCACTTGTCAGCCTGAATTTGTGTTGCCCATTCTACAAATCTTAACAACAACATTTTAAAAATCAAACAAATTATAGAGAATAGCATATAGGATCAGTCACAGGTGACTCTAATAAGGGCTCATCCTTGCTGTCACTCAATTTGTATTTTTATAGTTTTAATTCCCCTGGATCTGAGAGCTTTTCTTGTTGTTCTGCAGCTGTGCCTTATGAAAACCCAATCTTCCCACTGAATTGGATCTTCTTAGATGTGTGAAGGGTTTGAAGAGAGCCATTTTTAAATAGTATACATTCTAGTCAATATAGGTTTTACTGATGCTAAATGTAAAGATCAATTTGTCAGTTATGAACTAGGAACATTTAAAGTTGGCTTTTTGGCTCCATACTGCCCTATTAAACAGAAGAAGTATATTTTCACCAGCCAATTTCTTTGTCATCTCATGAATATAAGAGGATATATATTTATTAGAAATCCCCCTGTAGAATATTCTCCCAAGTATGTGTTCATAGGAATGCAGTCATAGATCCCATTGTAAATAAAATAGTCAAATTTAACTCCTTTTTAATCAATGGAACATAAGCTAGCCCTGATTAACTTGCCCCATTGATTTCAATGGGGTCCAGCAGGAGTTAACTTTTTACTTAACACAATTTGTATACTAATTCTCAAAACCTCTAAGTGGTTTACATAAACATCTTCATCTCCTTTTCTTTAATCTTCACCTGCTTTTTCTTTTGAGCCCCATATCTTAATGGGATGATAATCTTTTTTGCCTGTCATTGACAACAGATGTATTTTTTAAAAGTATTCTGAAACTTAAGGAGAGAATTGCATACAATATTTGGGTTACTAATGGATTGCCATCTTGAATCCATTTGCTGTTGCAATCCTTTTTTTCCTTTTTGATGAAAAGCTGACCTTTCGATATTAAAAAAACCCCCATTTGTATGTTGGTGTCTGATAAGTTATTTGGCATATTTGGCATTCTCCCAAATTTTGTTTAAGATTCCTTTTGTTTGCCACATGGAATATGTAGCAGTTAATAGAAGCGCAGTTTCCAGTGCATGTAGGTCATCAGTATTTTTTCAGCGTTATCAGCCTCTTACACAGAGATGAAAGAACCCTACGTGCAGCCACAACTTTGTTTGGCCAAGACCTGTTCAGCTTAAAATCAGTTGCTTCACCTGAGATTGAGCTGTGTGTACTGCTTATGGCATTCCCATTTCTTGACCCAAGCCAAGAGTTCAGAATGCTCTGACCTAAGCAGAAGCCCACCCCAGGACTTATTGTAGGCAGGCAGGGGTGGGGGGAATTCTAGAAGGAAGGAACATAAGTCTGCATGAAGCTATAAGAAGGAAGGAACTCTGAAGTAAGCCTACCAAGCGTAGGCTGAGCCCAAATTCTTATTTTTAAGGGTCTCAGACCTCTGAACCCAGCATAGCCTACCTTCATACATTTTTTAGTTTGAATCGTTACAATTCTTATCTTTAGTTAATTTATGTTATCTTTAAGGCTTTTGCTAGCAAGTTTGCTTACTGGGGTCATGTTTATATCTTGAAAACTGCTTGCGACATTTCAAGTCTTTCGATTGACGCAGATTAAATGATATTGCAGCTTCTGAAAATCTAGTATAAATAACTGAAACAACTACATTTTTGTGGAAATAATTACACTGATACGTCTCATAAGCCCTTCCATTAGAATAATCCCTTTCACTCAGAAGACATTGAACACAGAAGCTTTGACAGTTTCACACCAGACGTTCCATGAGACATTTTAATTAACAAATATATCATTGACAATTGCTGACTATGTTTGCATTTAATTTACAAGAGCTGATTGATATGCATGTCTGTTCACTCCCCTCCAATATTCAGTGGAAATAAGAAAATAGCTGACTTTGTTCTGAGAGGCACACTCTTATACCATCCGTAATTTAACTTTTCACCACGCTTTCTAATACTGAACTAGGTTTTCCTGAGGCATTAGCATCATATCCAAAACAGGGGAAACAAGTTAGCTATGGGGAAACCCTGAGTCTTGCAGGAGAGAGAGAGAGAGAGAGAGAGAGAGAGAGAGAGAGAGTATGTATCTTATTGATGCTTGTGACAGAGCCTCAAGGATAGCCACACCCTCCTCAGGACCAGCTCTGTCTGGAAATCTCCTCCTGCTCTTTCAGGCTTGGAAGAACCCAGTGCTTTTTTCAGGGGGTGCTTAAGGGTACGCAGGACTGACACCTTTTTTTGTTTTTTGTTAAAGAGTTAAAGACTTACTGTAACCACTTCATGGTGAGTACCATCACCTGTTTTTCTAGAAATGTCCCTCAATCGCACCAAGCTTAAAGGCAAGGTAAAGTCCGCTCCTCCAGCAGCACTCAGACTCCAAGAACTTTTCAAATCATGAATCTATTCCCTTGCAATGCTGCCAGAAGATGGGCAGGCCAGGGAGCACACATACTATTGGCTCCCAGTAGGCCTGAGAGGACTCTGGCACTTGCCATGTTATATAATGTGTTTGCCTTGGGTGACTTGGCAGAAAGGCAATATAGAAGCTCCAGAAATAAATGAATACATAAAAAGGAAAACAAGTTCCTATAGTGAAGGCTCCAACCTATAATAAAATAAGATCCCTGCTGGAAGAGGCCAAAGACCCATGCAGCCCAGCATCCTGACCTCACAAGCAAAACATGAGCACAGCAGCATGCTCCCCAAGGCAACACCCCCCCAAAACCCCAGAAAATAAATGCCCATGCTTCTTTTATCTCTTTACTAATACATCTGCTACAAACATAATTCAAAATCCTCTGCAACATTTGGTTGCAGGCCCCTACTTGTATTAGTCGAAACCTAAATACCAGGCTAATAAGTGCAATGTAAAATTTAAAGGGGAAAGTTTCAAAGGGCAATTATAGTGGGAGACAGGAATTCATTAACAAGTTTGATTGCATTTTCTATAGTTTATTTAAGAACTGTGTGTGTGTTCCTCATATTTTAAAGAGTAAATTTCCTTCCATTTGGTTGTATATTGTATCAAGATGTGTTTAGTTCTCCAGCAGTAAAGATGTTGTTGCTTACTTTTCATCTTTGGTGCTCACCTTGTTAAATGCCTTGTTTCCTTGGGCTGGGCTGATTAAAATATACTCATCTTTCTTTCTGCTAAGCAAGAATTTCTGGACAAATGCCTTAATCCAGCTGTTGTGGTTGTGCACATAAAGCCTCTAAAGAAAAGCCATTAGCACTCCCAGAAACTATTTGGAAGAAGTAAGGGTCTAGCCATGCCCTCTTCCTTGCAAAACACCTGATTTGTGTGATTACTGAAAGCATCCATAGCAGCTTTTTACATATTACTATTATTATTTACTTTATTAAATTTTGAATCATCTTCCACATAAGTCTCAAGCCAATTTACAGGAAAACAACTAGAAGTTGCTTTGAAAACAATGAAGATGGGTGTATAAACAATATAAAATAAACACCTAAGGCAAATACATTTTTAAGCTAACTGAAAAAGGTTGTTGAAACAAATATGTTTTCAGTTGTTTTGGGAAAGTACAAATAGAATCCCAACAGAGATTCTGTTCCGAAAACAGGGCCTGTCACACTGGAAGTCTGTAAAATGCAACTGAGCATGCTCAAAAATGCAAGGTAGCATGGTCAGCTGCAGCAATGGAAGCAAGTGACCTTTAACTGCCCACAGTTGAAATAATATTTCACAGCGCTAGAATACAAGGGAGATCTAAATCATAAAACTGTGAATGTGTGATTTAACACCCAAAAGAGTTAGAAAGCCTGTGTCTAGAAATTGCACATTTTTGTATGATTTGAAAAATCTACATTGGAACTGAACTGAAGATACCCAGAGCTCCAAAGCAGAGAACATGCTCAGTTTCTCGCCCTGTAGTCAACACCACAGCCCTGTCCATACTTGCTGTCAAAAGAAACATGAGCAGAAGTTATGGGGTCCCACTTCACTGATAAAATGTAGGTGCTTATAATGTGGCAGAAATATAAAAGGAAACTCCCAAACTAAGGCCCTCCAAGATGGCCAAAGGAAGGGTGAGATGTGTCCTTATATTTCTACTTTTATTTGGGAAATATCTTTAGATATATCTGCAATCTAAAAACAGTGCATTCAATTTATTAGCAATTCTGACCCCTACATCAAAGACAGATAACTAAATGTTATGCATATAGATATGGGATTAATTTACTACATTATTGTCCTCTGTATATCAACAATTACAACAGTTGCCACAGTAAGTTTGAAACCTCCCAGAAGTCAATCATTTGGACTCCAGTTTTGCAATACTATTCATGTTTCCTTAAAAATGAAATAATTCTGTTTCCCAGTTTGTTTATATTTAGAATGTTACAGCAATATCTAACACATGTTGAAATTATGATTATTACAAATGAATTATGCTGAGTCAAATGAAGTAAAACCAGGTTCTAGCATATCTAGCATAGTATTGGCATATATTTCATTTAATGATATATTTGTTCAGCAAAAAGCCAACTTGAGTGTTTATTTGGAGGATGTAAAAATTTTTGTGAGTTTGTAAGTGGGATGAGGTCAGTTCTAAAGCTTCCATAATTTATTATTTGGTGTATGTAAAAGAATTTGGGTGTAAAGGTTGTTGTGAGTTTGAAAGCATGATGAAGTCGGTTATAAAGGTTCCATTATAATAAGTGCAAGTTATAATTATGCTTGTAGAGGCACAAGGTGAGAGAGAGCAATATAAAAGATTGGTTTGATGAAAAGAATTTAGTGAAGTAAGTGAATGAGAGAAAGCTCTATTAGTTTATTTCAGCATAGCTGGAAGCTTTAAATTTGTTAATTTTGTGTTGCT